AACCTTCTACGATGCAGTGTACTGTGGCGTACACGTGATAACGACGGCTAAACGATAACGAAACAACTTGATGACGATATTTATATAGAAGCGGTGAATATTCACTAATACATGATGATCATACGACAAAGTAAATGTTGTAAATATAAAGTGTAACGACTGTATACATGACGCTAGGTGATGGTACAGCAGCAATGGCATTAATGCTGCGCACACGTTAACTTATAGATGACGACGATGATGTAGACGATAAGTTCCTGATGATGAACTGATGGACGATGATGATAGAGATCATGTAGATAATGAATGTTAAACGATGTTAATGAAGTTAAAGACGACGATGATGATGATACATCCTAGATAACGATACAGTGCACAACTTACACGCACTGTAATAATTGTGTATGCTACACGAGTTTATAGACGCAGGACTGTATCCCACAATTGTGATTAGTGCCCTATATAAAGAGCTTATCGTAAATGATGATGATTATATAACGACAAGTAAGTACACGGTTGTACGAAACAGTTCCAATGATTACATCGCGGCAGTGATTGCGAAGACATTGGCAGCTTGCTGCTGGTGGAGGATGATGATGATGACTTCATCCAGCAGTGGACAGAGCATGACCGAGCTATGATGGTGACGACTGATGATGGTGATGATGTTGGTGGTGATGTTGTTGATGGTGGTGGTGGTGATGTTGATTTTGATGGTGGTGATGATGATGATGTTGATGATGTTGATGATGGTGGTAATGTTGATGGTGAGGATGTTGATGGTGATGATGATGGTGGTGACGTTAATGATGATGGTGATGTTGATGATGGTGGTGATGTTGATGGTGATGATGGTGGTGATGATGGTGATGATGTTGATGATGGTGGTGATGATGTTGATGATGGTGGTGATGATGTTGATGATGGTGGTGATGATGGTGATGATGTTGATGATGGTGGTAATGTTGATGGTGAGGATGTTGATGGTGATGATGTTGATGGTATTGATGATGGTGATGATGGTGATGGTGTTGATGATATTTACCTCCGGTGACGACGGGTAACAACAAACTGATGGCGACCGTCAGTAGAAACCCCGAGCGGCAATTATCGTGCGGCAGTGGCGGTGGTGGTCATTGACATTCCCGGCTCACGGCTCACATCAGTGGCGAATGAGATCCGAACGCCTCCCCCCCCCCCCCTGCTGCTGTAACAGGGCCACCTCCCCTCGTGTAATAACAAAGACAAAGATCCCCCGCGTAGCCTCGACAGACTGTAGGGGCAAGTGCTGTTAGCGAACAGCACCTACGAAGGCCGGCACGGCACACGTGGGGGTGGGTGGACAGCACTACGCCGGGCCGCCTTTGTCTCCCCTAGTGGCGATGTCTACACACTGCACCAGGGGGTACACATTTGAGGCTGAGTCGACCTAGAGGAGGCCCAGGGTAGCCGCGTTCTAAGCGCAGCGCGCTAACCGCTGCGCCACCGCTCCCCATCCGTGTAATAACACCCCCCCCCCCCTTACACACACAACCCGCATTGACCAGCGTGGTGAAGTATGGTCATGTGAGAAACACAAATTCTTGTATTCTCCACGACTGACAGCACACCGCTCCACGATTTAAAGCTTTCGTGACTGCATTGATTCATATTCTTGGTTCTTTCGGTAAAGTCACGTAGAAGGGAAATAATGAAATAATATTTTTTTTTACATAAGACTTAAAAAATAATGAAATGATAAAAATAAAACATAAGATAAAAAAATACGTATTATTTCCCTTCTACGTGACTTTACCGAAAGAACCAAGAATATAATAATGAAACAATAAAAATAAAACATAAGATTTAAAAAATAATGTTTTATTTTTATTATTTTATTATTTCCCTTCTACGTGACTTTACCGAAAGAACCAAGAATATGAGACAACACAAACTTTCTATTTAAACTCAATTACCCTATACAAGACTACGGGTAAACCATCCGGTTTGACAGGTATGCAGGAACATCGTCTGTACGTACAGTGTGGTCAATGGTAGAGAAACCTTTCTAAACTTCTGTACAAAGACCCCCCCCCCCGTGTTTATGTGTGTGGCCTTAACACAACTTGTGGGTCAATTGATGTTTGCGAGCACCTATTAAGGCGGGACACGATGGCCATCCGTCGGCGTGCTCATGTTAATTACACAATGCACCAGGTCTTAATTTAGGGCTGAGTCGACCTAGAAGCCAGGTGTGGTTCTTGTGACCTTTTACTGCAGCCTTTGTACCCCCCCCCTCCCGTTTAGGTTATCGATTGTTACAAAACATGTTAATACATACGTAGGGATCAATGAAACAAAGTTGTTGCTTAATTTGTTTTCGATTATTTGCCTGTAAAAAAAAATCTGGACATGTCTCACCGTCCCCCCAATGGGGGGCTACGTGCACCCCCCAGATTAAGAAGAACCACTGAGACTGACCTAGGCAGTACCCAAGGTCGCTGTATAAGATCATCGCCACCGATGCCAGCCTTGGAATCGAACTCAGATCGGCGGGTTCGCAGCACGTTAGCCACTGCGCCCACAGGCACCACCACCACCCACCACAACACCAACCCACACATCCGCCACGCATTCGTAGTGTCATATAGCTCGTGTATAACACGTGTGTGTGTGTCTGTGTGTGTGTATTAATAGGTGCTCGCTAACAGTACTGGCCCCGGCGTAGGCTACACACGCCACGCGCGGGTGACCTACAGCTCACGTTACTGTACCAGGCCACGCATTTTAAAGGGACATCACGAATCGCGACCACGTGACACACAAACTGAACCACCGACCACGTGTCACACACCACACCACCAACCACGTGACACACACTACCACCCACCACGTGTCACACACCGCACCACCCACCACGTGTCACACACCGCACCACCCACCACGTGTCACACACCACACCACCAACCACGTGACACACACTACCACCCACCACGTGTCACACACCGCACCACCCACCACGTGTCACACACCGCACCACCCACCACGTGACACACCGCACCACCCACCACGTGACACACCACCCACCACGTGACACACCACCCACCACGTGACACACCACCCACCACGTGACACACACCGCACCACCCACCACGTGACACACCACCCACCACGTGACACACCGCACCACCCACCACGTGACACACACCACACCACCAACCACGTGACACACCACCAACCACGTGACACACACTGTACCACCAACCACGTGACACACACCGCACCACCAACCACGTGACACACACTGTACCACCAATGCCGGCCGGCGCTGTAACCACCAACTTAGCCACGGAAGCACAACGACGATGGGACCACGCAGGCGTCAAGAAGACGGCCACCACCACGGCCACCACCGCCACCACCTCCACCACAACCGCCACCACCACCACCTCCGCCACCACCTTCACAACCACCACCACCTCCACCGCCACCGCCACCACCACCTCCGCCACCACCTTCACAACCACCACCACCTCCACCGCCACCACCACCGCCACCACCACCTCCACAACCGCCACCTCCACAACCGCCACCACAACCACCATCCCTACCACCACCGCCAGGCACCGGGAGCCCCACGGCACAAACGGCCGCTCGCGTCTCGTCAACGGCGGTCCACGCGCAGTCAGCACACAGACACATCACACACACAGACAGCACACAGACACAGCGCACACACAGACAGCACACAGACACATCACACACACAGACAGCACACAGACACATCACACACACAGACAGCACACAGACACATCACACACACAGCGCATACACAGACAGCGCAGACACAGCACACACACAGTCAGCACACAGACAGCACAGACACAGCGCATACACAGACAGCACAGACACAGACACACACAGACACAGCGCATACACAGACAGCACAGACACAGCACACACACAGTCAGCACACAGACAGCACAGACACAGCGCATACACAGACAGCACAGACACAGACACATCACACACACAGCGCATACACAGACAGCACAGACACAGCACACACACAGTCAGCACACAGACAGCACAGACACAGCGCATACACAGACAGCACAGACACACACAGACAGCGCATACACAGACAGCACACAGACACAGCACACACAGACACACACAGACACAGCACACAGTCAGCACACAGACAGCGCACAGACACAGCGCACACACAGACACAGCACACAGACAGCACACAGACACATCACACACACAGACAGCACACAGACACATCACACACACAGACAGCACACAGACACATCACACACACACACACAGACAGCACAGACACAGCGCATACACAGCACATAGCCCAATCAGCGCACAGACACAGCGCACACACAGACAGCGCACAGACACATCACACACACAGACAGCACAGACACAGCGCATACACAGCACATAGCCCAATCAGCGCACAGACACAGCACACAGACAGCACGCAGACACAGCACACAAACAGCACACAGACACAGCCCAGTCAGCGCACAGACACACACACAGACAGAACACACACAGCACACAGCCCAATCAGCACAGACAGCGCAGTCAGCACAGACAGTACACAGAGAGAGCCCAATCAGCACAGTCAGCACACACAAAGCACAGACACAGCACACAGACAGCGCACAGAAACACACAGACAGCACGCATACGTCACACAGACACAGACATCACACAGACACAGCACAGTCAGCACATACATCACACAGACACAGCACACAATCAGCACACAGACAGCTCAATCAGCACACAATCAGCACACAGACAGCACATAGACAGCTCAATCAGCACACACAGACACATCACACAGACAGCTCAATCAGCACACAGACAGCTCAATCAGCACACAATCAGCACACAGACAGCTCAATCAGCACACAATCAGCACACAGACAGCTCAATCAGCACGCAGACACAGCACACAGACACAGCACACAGACACCGGAGTGTGCGCATCTCACCTTCCCAGCCCGACCCGACAGGTAGCCCAACGATGACTCAGCCGCACTACGAAAACGTTCTCCAAAGTTCCCTCCTCCTGCCGCACCACCACCACCACTGCCACCACCACCACCACTACCACCACCACTGCCACCACTCCCCCCCTTGGTAGCCACCGTCTCCTCCTCTTCGTCCGTCACCTTCTGACGTTTCCCTTCTCGCCAATATCGTCTCTTGCTCTCAAATTCCCAGAGGAATTTCGCCTCTCTTCTCTCCTCGTCTTCGTCGTCTTCTCCTCCTCCTGCCCACCAACTCCTCCTCCTCCTCTTCTTCTTTCTCTCTCTGTCGGCCGTTGCTGCGGATTACCACCACCAGCACCAGCAGCAGCAACAACAACACCCTAGGGGTGTTAATACTAATGTGCGGCTGCTGCTGCTGTGTTTAATGCAGAGGGCAGGGACTTGCTGAACAGCTGATGTGTCAATAGGGGACACTGTGTGTGTGCGTGTGTGTCGACTGTATACGAGTGTGTATGTAAGTATACGGGTGTGTGTACGTGTGTATTTGTAAGTACACGTGTGTAGTGTGTATTTGTATGTGAAGACAAGGGTGTGTATGTGTACGTGTGTATTTGTAAGTACACGTGTGTGTGTAGTGTGTATTTGTTTTTAAATACAAGGGTGTGTATGTGTGTAGTGTGTAAGTACAAGGGTGTGTATGTGTGTAGTGTGTATGTAAGTACACGTGTGTATGTGTGTATTTGTATGTAAGTACACGTGTGTGTGTGTAAGTGTGTATTTGTATGTAAGTACACGTGTGTGTGTGTGAATTTGTATGTAAGTACACGTGTGTGTATTTGTATGTAAGTACACGTGTGTGTGTGTATTTGTATGTAAGTACACGTGTGTGTGTATTTCTGTGTTTAAGCCGGCCTTAATAGACACTCGTTAACACTTGCCCCAGCCTGACACAAAGGCGATACGAGAGATATTTGTCTATGCGTGTGAACACACTGTATGTGAACACACTGTACACACAGTATATGTGAACACACTGTACACACTATATGTGGATGTACACTGTATATGTGAACACACTGTATATGTGCACACTGTATATGTGTACACTGTATATGTGTACACTGTGTGTGGATGTACACACTGTATATGTTCACGTATGTACACACTGTACAAGTGTGTAGTATTACACACTATGTGCACACTGTATGTGTATGTACACACTGTGTGTGCACACTGTGTATGTGTGTATGTACACACTGTATGTGTGTGTTCACACTGTATGTATGTATGTGTGTTCACACTGTATGTGTGTATGTACACACTGTTTGTGTGTTCACACTGTATGTGTGTATGTACACTGTATGTGTATGTGTGTTCACACTGTATGTGTGTTCACACTGTATGTGTGTATGTACACTGTATGTGTGTATGTACACTGTATGTGTGTTCACACTGTATGTGTGTATGTACACTGTATGTGTGTTCGCACTGTATGTGTGTTCACACTGTATGTGTGTATGTACACTGTATGTGTGTATGTACACTGTATGTGTGTTCACACTGTATGTGTGTATGTACACTGTATGTGTGTGGCAAGCTGATACACGGAGGCTCGAAGTGGCCTGCAGTTTTCATATACAGTACGTCGTACTGCACACGTGAATGTATGTGCGTGTGTTTATATGTCTGTGTGTTTGTCTCTGGATACGAATGTGTAGTGTGTTGTAATGCTATCGAGGCCTAGTGTGGTGCTTGTGTTTTACAACAGAGTTAGTGTATGACTACTGTATATGCCTGTGTGTGTGACTGAATGCAAGTATGTATGCCTGTCTGTGTGACTATGTACGTGTGTATGTCTGTGTGTGTGTCTATGTATGTTTGTGTGTGGCTATGTGTGTGTGTGTCTGTGTGTGTCTGTGTGTGTGACTGACTGTGTGTGTGTGTGTCTGTGTGGTGTGTGTGTCTGTGTGGCTATGTGTGTCTGTGTGTGTCTGTCTGTATGTATCTGTGTGTCTATCTGTGTGTGTCTGTGTGTCTATGTGTGTGTCTGTGTGTGTCTATGTGTGACTGTGTGTGTCTGTGTGTGTGTCTGTATGTGTGTGTGTCTGTGTGTAACTGTGTCTGTGTGTGTGTGTCTGTGCGGGCAGGCTAACAGACCGGGACTTGCCGAGTCACGCAGTGGGACGCTGTTGTTGCACGTGGTGTATGTACACTGCGTGCACCTAGCCTGGCACAAGCGTTGCGGTGACGTCACCGCCACTTAGCTAATGGCGGCTGATGTTATATACAGTACTCTGTGTGTATAATGCATGCGTGTGTCTAACTGTGGGCTGTTGTTACGTACTCTGTGTGTGTATAATGTATGCGTGTGTGTACGTCTCTGTGTGTGTCTGTCTGTGTGTGTCTGAATAGTATGTGTACGTCTCTGTGTGTACGTCTCGTCTCTGTGTGTGTACGTCTCTATGTGTGTGTACGTCTCTGTGTGTGTATGTCTGTCTGTGTGTGTGTGTGCCTGTGGGCAGTCTAATAGGCCGGAGCGTGTCGAGACCTGCAGACAACGCGCACTGACACACCGCGCGGCGTGCTCGCCTCGGCTGACGTTAGAATTAATTTCTTGGTGCAGAGTCCAACCCCAGCCCCGCCCCTCCCCCCCGACCCCCTCCCCTCTCCCCTCTCCCCCTACACCCCCCACCCCCGCCCCTCCCCCACCACACCCGCCCCTCCCCCCTACACCCCCCACACCCTCCCCTCTCCCCCCACTACCCCATCTCATTCCGCCCCCTCCCCACGAAACCCACCCCCCTCTCCCCCCACTACAAAGACAAAGATTCCTCCCGCCCCCCCCCCGTGTAGGCTCAACAGACTGTAGGGGCAAGTGCTGTTAGTGAGCCGCACCTATGAAGGTCGGGGGTGGGAGGCCAGCACCCCCCCCACCACACCCACCACCACCCCCCCACCACCAGACCCCCCCACCACCACACCCCCCACCACCACCACCACCACACCCCCCCCGACCAGCACCCCCCACCACCACCACCACACCCCCCCCACCACCAGACCCCCCCACCACCACACCCCCCACCACCACCACCCCCCACCACCACCACCACACCCCTCACCACTATTACACCCCCCACCACCACAACACCCCCCCACTCCCCCACCACCACCACACCCCCCACCACCACCACACCCCTCACCACTATTACACCCCCCACCACCACAACACCCCCCCACTCCCCCACCACCACCACACCCCCCACCACAACCACCCCCCACCACCACCACACCCCCCCACCACCACCACACCCCCCCCCCACCACCCCCACCACCACACCCCCCCACTAATTACAGCCGCCCGTTCGCCACAAAAGTCTCGATGACGTCAATACCAGCGCCTGTGGCAGGCTAGGTGCACTCCGAGGCCGCGTGAATCGGAATCTCGACTTAGACTGGAGGAATCCGATGAGCCGTGAAGCTCTTTATCGCAGATCTCTCTGTCGGCGCGGAGCAGAACGTGACGACGACGACGATAACGACGAAACACAAACACCGATGGAGAGCGCAAGGTATCGGAATGGTGAACAAGTCACTGAAATGTTTCGATTTAAAGCTTTCGTGATTGCAGGGATTCATCTTCTTGGCTCTTTCGGTAAAGTCACGTAGAAGGGAAATAATAAAATAATAAAAATAAAACATAAAAAAATAATTCTCACGACGTTTCGGCCACAACGCAAGCAGCCGTCCTCAGGTGAAGACCAGGTCTGTCGGGTAGACAGCGTCTGACGCTGCTTGCGTTGTGGCCGAAACGTCGTGAGAATTATTTTATTGTTTTATTTGTATTATTTCCCTTCTACGTGAGTTTACCGAAAGAACCAAGAAGATGAAGTCACTGAAAATAAATCAACACTAATAAACCAAGTCCTGTATCTAAGTACGAACTTGCAAGGCACCCCCACGCCTGCTCCCACGCTCGCTACGCTATTTACCGGGTCGGTAAAATACGCTACCCGGCGAGTGAGTTGGAAGTTCGCTTTTGGCACCGCACCCGATGCGCCCGGCGGAATGCAGGTTGCCAAACGTCTCACGCCGAGACACGCACGGGCGTGTGCGTGTGTGTCGGTGCGTGTGTGTGTCGGTGCGTGTGTGTCGGTGTGTGTCGGTGCGTGTGTGTGGGTGTGTGTGTGTCGGTGCGTGTGTGTCGGTGTGGGTGTGTCGGTTCGTGTGTGTCGGTGCGTGTGTGTGTCGGTGCTTGTGTGTCTGTTACAGCAGAGGTGTAGGGAATTCCAAAAAGACCTACATCTCTGCTTTATTGACCTGGTCAAGGCCTATGATACCATCAGTAGGACTGGGCTCTGGGTTGTTCTTCGTGCTTTCGGAGTCCCTGACCCTCTGCTCATGATCATTGAGGACCTTCATGATGGTGAGCGGGCCCGGGTAAAACTACGTGGCAGGGAGTCGGAGCCTTTCCCTGTACACCTTGGGGTGCGACAGGGATGTCCTCTGGCTCCCACATTATTTAACATCTATTTTGACCGCGTAGTTCGTGAAGCCTTCAATAGCTGTACCGGGGGAATTTCCATTTGGTACAGATATAATGGGAGGCTGATCGATGCCCGGGTGCGATCAAGGGATGGCTCCCTATTGGTCAACCACGTTATGTATGCCGATGATTTGGTAATAGCTGCTCATTCAGAAGAGGAGTTGGAGACGCTGCTGCTGAGACTGGAGCGTGCCACTAAGAGGTGGGGCCTTACCATCAGCCCCACCAAAACTAAGCACCTGCTTGGGTATTTTGTACCATCGAACACTCCACCCCTACAACTCCCAATCGGTGATGGGGCAGTAGTGGAAAGAGTGGAGAGTTTCCTATACCTGGGCAGTGTGCTCATGACCGGCTCCAGTTTAACAGCAGAGGTCTCACTCCGAATCGGTCGAGCGGCAATATATTTTCATCGGTTGCGTAACGCTGTGTGGAAGCTACCTGGTCTGTCGCTCCGCACGAAGCTTCAGGTCTTCTCGGCCACGGTCATTCCCTCCCTTCTCTACGCTTGCGAAACGTGGACCCCCCTAATGGAGCATCTTCGCCGGCTGGAAACATTTAGGCTGGCCTGCCTACGATCCATCCTGAGTTTAACCAGGCTGGATTGTGTGAGCTCACAAATCCTTGAACGAGCTGGGCAAAGTCCCATCGGTGAGCTCCTCCGGCAGGCAAGGCTGCGTTGGCTGGGTCATGTAACCCACCTGCCCAGCCACCGCATGCCTCAACAGCTTTTGTTCGGCCGGATCGAGGGGGCTAAACGGGCGCGGCACGGGCTAGAGAGGAGATGGAGTGATGTGGTACAGGAGGATGTGGAGCTGAGTGGACTTGCCGATGACTGGTACCAGCGGTGTTAAGATCGGCCTTTGTGGAGGAGGCTCGTGAAGGACGCTACTGAGCAGTTGGAGGCAGTCGCCCTCCAACAACAACGGAGGGCGGAGGAGCGACGCTCACAACAACGAGCGGAGCGCCGGGTGGCTAAAGCACAGCAAGTTGGCACAGTAGGGGGCACAGGTGGTGCATCAGCCAGTCATCTCGGTCATCTCAGTCGACCCGTGGCACCTGCTGGGTCTGCCCCGTGACCTGCCAGCGGGCGTTCGACACTTCACGTGGCCTCAAGGTGCACATGGCCTGGCACAAGCGTCGTGGTGACGTCACCGCCACTTAGTGGCGAATGGCGGTTGTTGTTGTTGTTGTGTGTCGGTGCCGGTCTTGCTTGCAGTCTGCTGGAGGCTTATAGCAAAAGGGGGGGGGGGGGGTCTTTTGTCTTTGGGGAGCGACGCTCACAACAAACGAGCGGCTAAAATGAGCGCCGTGGCACAGACATCTCGTCGTAGTGTGCACGTGCGTAATCAGGTGATGATAATGGTGACCTTGTATGTGGATGAGGTGGTGGTGGTGGTGATGATGACCTTGTATGTGGATAAGGTGGTGGTGATGATGACCTTGTATGTGGATAAGGTGGTGGTGGTGGTGATGATGACCTTGTATGTGGATGAGGTGATGGTGGTGGTGATGATGACCTTGTATGTGGATGAGGTGGTGATGGTGGTGGTGATGATGACCTTGTATGTGGATAAGGTGGTGGTGGTGGTGATGATGATGACCTTGTATGTGGATAAGGTGGTGGTGGTGGCGATGATGATGACCTTATATGTGGATGAGGTGATGGTGGTGGTGATGATGACCTTGTATGTGGATAAGGTGGTGGTGGTGGTGGTGATGATGACCTTGTATGTGGATGAGGTGGTGGTGATGGTGGTGATGATGACCTTGTATGTGGATAAGGTGGTGGTGGTGGTGGTGATGATGACCTTGTATGTGGATGAGGTGGTGGTGATGGTGGTGATGATGACCTTGTATGTGGATGAGGTGGTGATGGTGGTGGTGATGATGACCTTGTATGTGGATGAGGTGGTGATGGTGGTGGTGATGATGACCTTGTATGTGGATAAGGTGGTGGTGATGGTGGTGATGATGACCTTGTATGTGGATGAGGTGGTGGTGGTGGTGGTGATGATGACCTTGTATGTGGATGAGGTGGTGGTGATGGTGGTGATGATGACCTTGTATGTGGATGAGGTGGTGGTGGTGGTGGTGATGATGACCTTGTATGTGGATAAGGTGGTGGTGGTGGTGGTGATGATGACCTTGTATGTGGATGAGGTGGTGGTGATGGTGGTGATGATGACCTTGTATGTGGATAAGGTGGTGGTGATGGTGGTGATGATGACCTTGTATGTGGATAAGGTGGTGGTGGTGGTGGTGATGATGACCTTGTATGTGGATGAGGTGGTGATGGTGGTGGTGATGATGACCTTGTATGTGGATAAGGTGGTGGTGGTGATGGTGATGATGACCTTGTATGTGGATGAGGTGGTGGTGGTGGCGATGATGATGATGGTGATGATCTTAAAGTCCACAAAGCGCCGCTGTGACGTCACCGCTACTGATGTAGCGAATGGCGGTTGTTGTTGTCGATGATGATGAAGACGATGACGACGACGACGATTATTTAAATTCCATTGGTTTCATTTTCAAAGGAGTATTGACCTCTCCCAATGTTGATCTGGCGTTGCCTGGCAACAGGGGGTATTTGTTAGCTGATTCCGCACTCATTACCTCACCACCCCGCCCCCTCCCCCCCTAATCCTCACCACAGACAAAAGAACTCCATGACCCCAGAGAGAGGCGTCGTCTCTTCTCGATCTCCGGAAAATTCCGCACGCCAATCGCCTCTGCTGTGCTACCCGAACGCAGCATTTCGTGCCACGACACCGCACGTTGCTTGTCCGTTCACGTTGAAGTAAGGGGCCGTCCATAAATGACGTCACGCGATTTTGGACGATTTTTGACCCCCCCTCAAATATGACATCACAAAGCTCTGCCCCCCCCCCCCCACCGTATGCTTGTTGAACTTCTTTCACACGTAGCCAACCGCGCAAATCGGAGGTTGCTCCGGTTTCCTCCCACGTGCACGAACACTGACGACGACTGTAATCGGCCGATAAACACCTTCACGCATAGAGGATCGCAGAGCTCGGGAGGGGAATTGGACGCCGGCTGCTCACCGCGCAGTTGCCGCTGCCTTCCTCCTCGTCTCGGCGGTTCCTCCTCCTGTCCCCTCCGCGTCGTCCTCTCTCTGTCTCCACGAGAGCGATGAGCAGATACCGTGTTGAAATAATACTGGTAGGAACCACCTGGTTACACCAGCCCACAGGGGATTATTGTGTCCGTGTGTCCGTTGTAATTCCAAAAATGGGAGGGGTGGGGCTGGGTGGGGAGGGGCTGGGTGGGGGGTGGTAGATGTGGGGCTGGGTGGGGAGGGGCTGGTCACCCCGTGGTGCCCTTATAAAACTCAACGTTTAACCTACTCACGCCAGCTTGTGCCCGCCCTCACAGTCGGGCATATTTGCGGAATACACCACGCCGCCGTTGACCCTGGCCATTGACCGAGCAACCCAACGTTCCTACCAGCTCCCTCCGCAGGAATGTGTTTCCTGCGAGTGACTCGAGTGAATGCGGACACGGCGGAACGTTTCCTGCAAGTCGGCTTGGACCCCGTTTCATTAGCTCTCCTTTTTATTTTTCGAGACAAACGAAATCCACGTTCCATTGTCAGCACAACACGGGGAAGAGGAACAATTCCACGTCATCATTAACGTCGTCATCATCGATCGTCGACAACACCATAATCATCATCGCACGCATTAAACAGCGAGAGAAAGAAATAGCTAGAAAATAATATAATACCGACAAATCAGCTAGCATCTTTACAACCGGACATAACAAACCGCAGCACGATAAGAACAACAGCAGAACCCAAAAAAATGAAAATGTAATGTTTTAAACGACGAGATTAAACATTCCCAGGGCATTACACGAACGCGTCGAGAAGGTTGTGGCCACGTGGACTTAAAATCATTACGTTATGGCCATGATGAAAGTCATTCAATTTCTACTGAAATATACGAGGCAGCTGGGAGGAAGGGGGCAGTGTGGGAGGGAGGGAGGGGGGTCGTGTACTAAACACGGATAGAGAGGGAAGCAACATGAAAATCCGCTGGGAGGTTTTTGTTTGATTTTTTTTTGCTTGTCATGATAAGTTGAGGTTTTCAGAGAGAGGTGTTGAGAGTTGGGTGGGGATATGGGGGGGGAGAGGGAGGTGGTGGGTGGTAGTGGTGGGGGAAACCGATTGCTAACGGTGCCGTCCGTTGCTCTAGGCTGGGTTGTGACGTCACAATACATCGCGTTCGACCTCGCGTGCACGTGGCAGCTGACAAAAACCTACGCAAACACGCGGCCCTCGTGCATGCGCGGGTCTATCAAACCCCGTGGCGACTCCCACATACCCCCCCCTTTGTGTACACCTCGCGCACGTGAGAAACTGCGGTGGGCTATTGCATGCCTGTCAACCCCCCCTGATCGGTGCTCTACCTTATTACAGAACAATTCAGACATTGTTGGTCACCCCGTGCCCCTTATCAATCCCAACGTTCGTCCGACAAAGTCCCATCACAAGGGAGAAACACAAACAGACAAGAGCATTTTTGCCCCGCATTGAAACGGCTGTGCGCCGTATGGACCTGAAAACTCAATTTCCCGGTTCGAGAATTTGGGTAAACCGTATGGGTTGACAAGTATGCTATTGATTTGTAACTCTTAATATTATTACTACATTTAATTTAAACAATAATCCTCTGGCCCCCGTAACTATCCATTGCCCTGACAGAATTCACGATTCTATTTTTGTATGTATTTTAAGGTGTATGTGTGTGCAGAATCGATAGTGGTGGTGGCGGCCATGCAGTTTCCACGAGCCAGTCACGCGCGTCATCAAATACGTCACTGAGCCCATTGTGTCGTCACAGGGGCGACAAGAAAAAACATTGTTGTGCTGTACTCTACTCGGACCTCTATGCGCGCTTCCCCTGCCCCCACTTTCACGAACCTGCACCGACACATCAGGCATGGGAGAGGTCCTTCATCCAGCAGTGGATTGTACACGTAACAAACGTCGTACACACGCCGTTAAATTACTGCCGATTACGTTCTTTCGTGGCGCACTGTAGGTCACCGTTAACACCGCGAATCGATGACGATCGTCGTTCTCCTACGCGCACACACACACACGACTCGACGCACGAGCTGTGAGCATTAAGAACCGAACAATTCCATTGATTCAATCTCAATCGCATGGGGGATCGTTGTTGCATCATCATCCCACCACCACCCCCCCCCCCCTTGCAGGTTCATCTCACAATGCAGCGAGCATCTCCAAACTGCAGAGTAGCATTTTTCATGCGCGTGCGAGGATGTGTGTATGTGTGCTTGCCCCGAAAGTCTGTCAAGGCTATACGGGGGACCTTTACTTGTGTGTACGTATGCATGCGTGTGCTCGCTAACAGTACTTGCCCCAACAGTCTGTTAAGGCTTTACGAGGGATCTTTGTACTCGTAGGTGGAGCGGTGGCGCAAGTGTTTAGCGTGTGCCACGCACACCACGGCGTGCGCATGCCAACCACAAGTTGGACTTTGTTTAACCCAGGTGACAACTCAGGTGTGCAGGATTAGAGTCTCATCATTTGCACGAATCGATCAGGGCACACAGCAAACACCACCACCACCACGTGCATTTCACAAACGGTGTTGGCCCGTCTGCACTAACCCAGGGTCTGACCGTACGTGGGTCTCACCACAGACCCTTCGTCGATTACGTCACGTGGCAGGGGGTCAAGGTGCCGCCCTGCAAGTGCGTGCTCGTGCCACGGCTGGATAAAGGGGGAGCTCTGGCAAAGTATGGTATTGTGGAATACTCAGTAACGCTGGTCGAGCATATTGGAAGAGAGTTGTGGGGGGAGAGGGGAGGGGGGTGGTGGGGAGCTTCCCACACTGTACCCCACCACACGAGGCGACCTGTCGTTGCGCCCACACTGCGGTGTTTACCCGTTCGTACTGGTGGATGGGGCCCAGAGGGTGCGAAGGGATTTTTCGAAACTCGCCTCCATCGTTTCAACGTCCGCGCCGGGGAGATGGAGTCGAACAGGCACGACCCCTGGGATTGCGAGTCCAGCCACGTGATAGACGTCACAGCGACAACAGCAAGAACAGCATCGGATTGTATTTTGCGTCATGGTGGTGGTGAGGGGGGGTGGGAGAGAAGTAGAGAACGATGAATGAACCGATTGGATGAATGAACGAACGAACGAATGAAAAATACAGGAGTGAACCGCACGAGTGAACCAACCGCACGTGTGCCGGGTGAACGTGTGTGTGTGTGTGTTCGCGCGGGCGCGCGTTCATAGGAAGAGCGTAGTAGACGTGGGTTTGTCTGGGGCGGAGAGGCAAATTGGGGGAGAGTTGGCGGGTGGGGGTTGAGAGGTTTTGAGAAGGATAGGTGGGGTGGGGGCGATGAAGAGAAGGGTTAAAGGGCGTTAAGATGGGGACGTGGGAAGGTGAAGTACGGTTCGACTTCACTACTCTTCCTTGCGTTTGGATCCAGGGATTTTGGCTTGAACCCTGCATTCGCACACGCAAACAAACACATTCCATGGCAAATCGTGTAGACCGTTGGAGCAAGTGCGGCTAGCTAGCTAGCTCCCCCCAGTGGTGATGGCTAGCGAGCATCATTCTTGATGAGGGAAAAACCGGAGGGCCCATTGAAAAATCCATGCGACCACGGGGAGAACACGCAAACTACAAAAATACATATTCTTAGGTTTTTTCGGTAAAGTCATGTTGGTAAAAAATTTAAATCAATAAAAGTAAAATACAAATAAAATAATATAATATATTAATTTTTATTTTTAACCTACGTGACTTTACCGAAAAAACCTAAGAATATGAATCCTTGCAGTCACGAAAGCTTCAAATCTAGAATCAAACTATACAACAGGCGTCAAGGGTCGGGATAAAACCCACGACTTCCTTTATACCAGGCGAGATAGTTAACATCTCATAGCCACCGTGGCGCCCTTTGCAGTACGCTGCCGACTGTTACTCGAGCGTACGTGGACAGACGGGAGTGACGGAAAAAAAACAACGCAGGCTCACTTACTTGGCCACGAAGCCGTTGATGTGACCACGGATCAGCTCAACGTACTGGTCAATCTGCGCCTGTGTTGGGAGACACGCACGCACCGACCGCATCGCATGAACAGACTGTTGGGTATCAAGTGCTGCGAGCGAGCAGCGGCCCGTGAAGGCCGGCAAACCACGACAGGTCACGTGACCGGCGCAAGGTGATCAGCGAAGGCCGAGTCGACCTAGGGGTGGCCCAGGGTCCATGTTCGGAAATCAAAACTCCGGTCTGCCGGGTTCGTGACGCAGCTTCGGCAAGCACGACAGCGGGTACGCGACGTCTTTAGTGTTTTTGGTTTAAAAAATAAAAAGTTTGGCTTTGACACATTCAGATTGTCGCTTTCAGTTGAAGCAACGCTGCTGACACGACGCGCTCCCGGAAAGCGTGGCGGCGGCTACGCCGGACGTGGTTGCCGCAGCGAGGGCTGCTGGATCACCACACGGATGGGTTGAGCATCAAAGAGGTACGATAAAAAAGAGATGGTGATCACTGCTTTCGGATGCGCTTCTGCGGCCGTCTGGAAAGCGCTCTTCCATTCCGATGTTAAGGAAGCCACTGGAGCTGCGTGCACTTTTAAAATCATCCTCATCTAGATTGAGAACTCATTTCTTTCAAACTGCTTTTTTGTGTTTCGTTTGTTGCCCTTCATCCTGCACCTCCGACTAGCACGGCTGGCTACGTACGGTGCGAAAGAAGCCCAACACTCACACAAACAACTGGCTCACGAGTTAGAAGGCGGTACAGCAAGTGTACTAATCGTAATCTGTTTAATCCGTCTATACGGGGGGGGGGGATAAAGTGATCCCCCCTCGTGCAAGGCGTGAATTTTCTCCGGGTGCTCCGGTTTCCTCCTCCCCACGTGTATCATCAACACGACGAATCGTTGTCAATTGTCTGAAAAGTCTTAGAAAAGTGGCAGCGGGACCTTGCTGCGGGACACGGTCCTGCGGCTCAGCGTGGACCTCCGTGATAAATAACTCAATTATTATTGCTGTTATTGTAAGGCCGTGTGGCTGGTGTGTGTACAAACTACAAATCCTACTTTCTTATGATACGTGGTGGGACAGATGTACAAAGAAGGAGGCGTGTTATAAGTTGCTTTTTTACTGGAAGGGCCAGTGAAGGCAGGGGGGGGGCTCTGAGCGAGGTTCGAGCTGCCAACGTGTGGGAGCGTGCTGGTACATGTGTTGTGTGTACGTGTGTGTGTGTACGTGTGTGTGTGTGTACGTGTGTGTGTGTGTACGTGTGTGTACGTGTGTGTGTGTGTACGTGTGTGTGTGTGTGTACACGTGTGGGAGATTATGCTGGTACATGTGTGTGTGTGTGTGTGTACGTGGGAGAACGTGCTGGTACATGTGTGTGTGTGTATGTGGGAGATTGTGCTGGTACGTGTGTGTGTGTATGTGGGAGCGTGCTGATACATGTGTGTGTGTATGTGGGAGCGTATTGGTACATGTGTGTGTGTGTATGTGTGGGAACGTGCTGGTACGTGTGTGTGTGTACGTGTGGGAGATTGTGCTGGTACGTGTGTGTGTGTATGTGGGAGCGTGCTGGTACATGTGTGTGTATGTGGGAGCGTATTGGTACATGTGTGTGTATGTGTGGGAACGTGCTGGTACATGTGTGTGTGTATGTGGGAGATTGTGCTGGTACATGTGTGTGTGTGTACGTGTGGGAACGTGCTGGTACATGTGTGTGTATTTGGGAGATTGTGCTGGTACGTGTGTGTGTGTGTGTACGTGGGAGATTGTGCTGGTACATGTGTGTGTGTGTACGTGTGGGAACGTGCTGGTAAATGTGTGTGTGTGTAAGTGGGAGCGTGCTGGTACGTGTGTGTATGTGGGAGAACGTGCTGGTACGTGTGTGTGTACGTGTGTGTACGTGTGTGTGTGTACGTGTGGGAACGTTCCGTCGTTTTTCCCTCCCAACGGAGGAGGCTCGCGCTGCCAAGCACGAATATTTGGCGTGACGACAAAAACTCAAAACCAAAAAAATCCGCGCCCACGCACACCCACGCAGCAACACGAACGCACACGCACACACAATCTTACGCGCGCGCACACGTGCACAGCAGCCATCATTCGCTGTCGAGTCATGGTGACGTCACCACGCCGCTTGTGCCAGGCTAGGTGCCCTGTGAGGCCACGTGAAGAGTGGAAAATTCCTCGCTGGCACGACGTGATGGGACAGAGCCAGGTGTTATTGATTAACGGAGATGACTGAAAGACGCACCACCTGTGCTCCCCACTGTCAACTCGCTGCCGTTGTAGCCGCCCTGCGCTCCGCTCGTTATTGGGGCGCCTGCCTCCAACTGTCCAACTGCCCAGTCAGCGTCAGGTCCTGACACCGCTGGTACCAGTCATCAGCGAGTCCACTCAGCTCCACATTCCTCCTGTACCGCATCAGGCCATCTCTCTCGCCCATGCTGTGCGCGTGTATAGCCCCCTCTATCCAGTTTGATAGAAGGCGCCACGGTGGTGAGATGTTAACTGCCTCGCCTGGTGTGCAGGAGGTCGTGGGTTCGATCTCAACCTTGACTGCCTGCTGCTGTATATTTGGAATTTGCGTGTCTCCCCGTGTTCGCGTGGATCTTTCTCCGGGTCCTCCGGTTTTTCCCTCCCACATTTCGAGTCAACATCACGCGTTTACAGCATTTGCCTGCTGCTGTACATTTCCACGTGATGTTAAGCCACTTCCGTTGACCTATCGTTTGTGATACAGCCACGTCGATTCTGAAACAAAAGCTACGTAGCTCTGTTGGTACCTTCCCTGGTAGAATAAAAAAAAATGTTTTTACTGTTTCGTTGCACACTTTAATAGACAGAATCTGCTCGAGTTTGCCGGCGGCTGAGCATGCGGTCGACACGACCCAGAACAACGCAGCGCCTCTCCCGTTGGAGGAGATGACCGCCAGGACTGGCGTCCGGGATCTTTTAAGGGATCTGCGGAGCCTCTCACGGCCTGCGCGGGTCTCCCTGCCAGCGGCTCCGCGTTACGCAAGCGCGGTTCGAGAAGGGAGGAGGGAGGAGGGGTGCGTGCCGACCGTGGCCGAGGAGACTTGGAGCAGACGGGGGCCAGACGCCGCGATTCCACGCGGCGTCACGCAGGCCGGTGAAAAAGGAATCGCCGCCGGACCTGTGCCGCCAAACCGGAGCTGGCCGTGACCAACACTGCCCTCGGAATTGGAACCATTCCACCCTTTTGCGTAACCCGCCACATTCATCAAGGGGAGTTGCCGGGTGGAGTATTCGATGGGGTATTTGGAGTAAGTCAGCATTGGGTTAGCCGGGTGGTGAGTACGTAAACGCACGTGGCACGTGAGTGGTGTGCAGCGCCAGGCCCGACCACCTTTGTCTCCCCACCCTGCCGCTCCCCCCCACTTACCCCGCCCTTTGCCCCCCCCTCAACCCGCCCCCCACTCACCCCGCCCCCCACTCACCCCGCGCCTCACTCACCCCGCCCTTCCCCCCCACTTACCCCGCCCCCCAATCACCCCGCCCCCCCCCTTCCCCCACTCCACCTCCCAACCCACGACTCACCTGGTGCTTCTCATAAACAACAGGGATGGTGAAGAGCCCCACCACAACTGTAAACAACAACACAAATTAACACACATCAACAATAGATCAACAGCCACAACACTCATAAATGAGTAAGTCATTTGTGTGCGATTTGTGCGTGTATGATGGTGGGCGATGGTGTATGCTGGTGTGTGATGGTGTGTGATGGTGAGTGTGTATGATGTGCTGCCGGGCCGCCGTGTGTGACGCCGTGTGTGACGCTGTGCGTGACGCTGTGCTTGACGCCGTGCGTGACGGTGGGAGCGATGCGACGATGTTGCTCACCAATGATGACGATGGTGAGGCCATTGAAAATGGCACCCACGTAGGTCAACAGCCAGACGAACACGGCAAACTGCGGATAGCACAGGGGCAGCGGCACAGGCAGACAATCAGTTGGGCAGCAGGCAGGTGAGAGGTGAGACGGCCACACAGGCAGAGAGCGCGACCGTTGTACAGGGAAACCGACGGACAGACAAGAGTGAGAGGCAAAGGGATCCGTCAGACTGACAGACGATGAAATAGCGGGACGGACGGGCAGACAGTGATCGACCGACGGATTCGTACGGAGCAACAGGCGAACGAACGTTCAGATAGACAGTCGGTTCGAACAAAAGACACGCAAACAGTCGGACAATGCGTCAGGCCGACACAGCCCCGACGGATGACAGCCAGACAACAGTCAGACAAATAGACAGACGGACGGACAGGCAGGACGGCGTGACAGACAAAACAAAAGCAGAACAGAGAGACCCTTTTTATTTTACCAGGTAAGGCCCACTGAGCTCTACAGCTCTTTTACAGAAGCTACCTGGCCACAATTGATAGCTCAACAAAAGTGGCTTATCACGTGTCAATGTACAGCAGCTAAATACTATAAATGCACGTTTATTCTAAATGTAGAGGGGGAAAAAACCAGAGGACCCGGAGGAAAAACCCAAGCGACCACGTGGACGAGACACCGCGAACTCCAAATATACAGCAGCAGGCGTCACAGGGTCGGGATAGAAGCCGCGACCGCCTGTATACCAGGCGAGGGAGTTAACATCTCGCCAACGAACGGACAGACAAATCGCAGCGTCAGATTTTGCTGAGTCGTGGGTCGAGGTCGCGACCTTGATGGAGTCGAGGAGGTCGTGAACCAGGAAGAGGCGCTGCAGCTCGCGCAGCGTGCGATTCACCCGCGCCAGCGACGCATCCGAGTACTTGCGCGCCACCTCGGGGCTCACCGCCAGGTCCTTGTCCAGGTACTCCCTAGGTAGGCAAGGGGGCGGAAGGGGGGAGGGGGGGAGCGTGGAGGCGAGGGTCACTGGGGGGTCAGTGGGGGGTTGTTGTCCATCGCGACAGTGCTGCGGTGAGCGTGTCTGTGCGCTTGTGTGTGGGGCGGTGCGTGTGGGTGGTGGTGTGGGGAGCGGTGGTGGAGTGGTTAGCACGCTGTGCGATGAACCCGGCGACTCGAGTTCGCTTCCCGCTGATGGCTAACGCCGGTGACGATTGTCTGAACCGGTCCTGGGCTTTCCCAAGGTCGACTCGGCCTCAATTGAGTACCTGGTGAGGTGTGTAGTAAACATCGCCACTGGGGGAGACAAAGGCGGCCGGGCGTGGCGCTGGCCACCCACCCGTTCGTGTGCCGTGACGGCCTTCATCAGTGCTCGCTAACAGCACTTGCCTCAACAGTCTGTCAAGGCTACACGGGGGATCGTTGTCTTTGTGTGGTGGTGTGGTGTGTGTGGTGGTGGCGTGTTGTGGTGGTGGTCATCGTGGTGGTGCGGCGGTAGCAGCGGTGGTGGGGGGGGGGGGGTACCCACTGGAAGGGGTGGGGGGCGTCGGACTTCTGCACGGCCTTGAGCAGGCAGCGGTAGACGCGCAGCGTCAGGGTGAGCGAGAGCACGGCGAGCGAGCCGTAGGCCAGCACGCTCACGATGCTCCACGTGGTGAGCGCCAGCAGGAAGCCGAGCAGCGTCGCGGACACGGCGCCCGAGCGCAGCGGCTCCCGCCACAGCAGCAGCTCCACCACTGCGCCAACACCACCAGAGGTGTTACCAATGTCATCGTCGTGGTGGTCATCATTTTGGTCAACGTCATCACCGTCGTCATCAACAACAACGTCGTCGTCGTCGGTAGCAGCAGAGGCAACGGCGTCACCATCATCGTTATCGTTATTGTCGTCATCATTGATGATGATGGAGCCGTCGTCAGCATTGTCACTGGCAGCAGCAGAGGCAGCATCATCACCATCATCATTACTGTCGCAGCATCTTCATCGTTATCACAGCATCATCATTATTATCATCGTTATCATAACATCATCTTCATCATCATTATCACAGCATCATCATCATTATCATCGTTATCATAGCATCATCTTCATCATCATTATCACAGCATCATCATCATTATCATCGTGATCACAGCGTCATCTTCATCATCATTATCACAGATTCTTCATTAAGATCATCCTCATCATCGTCACGCTTGCCCAATGAGTCACTGCGAAGGCCACGGCGAGCACGTGTGCAGGGGCAGGGTGCCAGGAGCTCAATGACACCACGTGCTCTCACACATACACATACAAAGACAAAGATCCCCCGTATAGCCTTAAGAGACTGTCGGGACAAGAGCTGTTAGCGAACACCTACGAAGGCCAGAAAGGCACACGAGGGGGTGGGTGGCCAACACCACGCCCGGCCGCCTTTGTCTCCCTGGTGTCGATGTTTGCACACCACACCAGGTACTCATTTTTGAGGCCGAATCGATCTCGGCGAGGTCCAGGACCTGTTCAGACAATCGTCACTGGTGTTGGCCGTGAATGGATCAGTCGAGTTCGTAACGCAGCGTAGCGCTAACCGCTACACTACCGCTCCCCACACAAAGAAAAAGATACACACAAATAGAAAAATTGACAAACATACACGCCGACACAGATATACACAAAGACACACAGCTATACAAACATACAGACAAACACAAACACATACATACAGACACATACAAATAAGCCCCGTATAACCATTAACAGGCTCTCGGGGAAAGTGCTGTTAGCGAGCACCTATAAAGGTCGGCACGGCACACGAAGGGGGTGGGTGGCCAGCACCACGCCCGACCGCCTTTGTCTCCCCAGTTGCGATGTTTACACACCGCAACCGGGACTCATTTGAGGCTGGGTCGACCTAGGGGAGGCTCAGGACCGGTTCAGATAATCTTCACTGGCATTGGCCGTGAGCGGGAATTGAACCCGAGACGCCAGGTTTATCACGCAGCGCGCTAACCGCTACACACACACACGTACACACACACGCACGTACACACACACGCACACACAAAACCCTCACCACGGCCATGTGATCGCACTCGTTTTGGTTGCCGTCAGCACAGCGCAGATGTTTAAACAAGCAGAGAACTCCCCACACTCGCGAGTGACCCGGTGGTCGTTGAGCGATATCATCGCAATGCTCGCCACGAGCTTTTACTCCCGGAGAATGATATTTCAACGTCAACGAAATTGCAGCGCCGTCACGCCATCTGTTGACCCACGTTCGCAGACTCGATGAGTAATAAGTATAACCCGTAAAAACTAAGTTTTTCACTATAAATCCTTTATATGCGTGGCAGCGAACTTAATATAAAGGATTTAAAAATATATTCGCCTGTGGAGGACGCGGGGATCGATCCTGCGACCTTTGGCATGGGAAGCGAGGGCGCTACCAACTGCGCTACTCCGCCACGGCCTGTGGAGGGGTTACGCTCTGGGCTCTTACACTCTGACGTTCAGCCAAAGCCAAGAATGAGTTCTATTTGAATATATGTAAAATAAAAAATGTTTGCCTAAAAAGTGTAAAATTTTGGGAATTTTTTTTCACGAACATTAATTGTCTGGCACAACGAGTCTGTGTGGAAAATGTCAGCTCGATTGGATCACGGGAAGTGGGTTAAAAAACGACCGAAAGATTTGCACGGTCGTAAGCAAGCAAGCATGCGAACTTAATATAAAGGATTTAAAAACTCGGGTTTTTTTTCAGGAGCGTCAAAAGGCGTCCCCCCACGCGTCTCTGCGCACCCTCGAGATATCGTTCCGTGCCCTTTGCCACCGATCCGTGCGGCTCGCAAGAGGTAAGGGGCCGTCCATAAATGACGTCACGCGATTTTGGACGATTTTTGACCCCCCCCCCCCCCCATAGTTACACGGCGTCACAAAAAGTCAGACCCCCCCCCCACTCAAATATGACTTCACAAAGATCTGCCCCCCCCCCCACCCCCAAAAAAATAAAACATGCTTCAAATCGCTTTAAAATATTGTCATTGTAGTGCGTATTTAATGTGGTGCTGCACTCTGATGTTGTAGGAGAAAACATTTATTAAAACGTCTATTTAATTAAGTAGAACGTGTTGTCTACTTATTTAAAGTTGCGAATGTTGATGTGGCGTCATTTCTCAAACCCCCCCCCCCCCTTCGTCACACATCGTCACAAATGTCTGACCCCCCCCCCCCCCTAGGTGCGTGACGTCATTTATGGACGGCCTCTAACACGGAGTTCGAAACGCTGCAGAACACAGCAAAGACAAAGACCTCCCACCCACCCCGATAGCCTTAAGTGACCATTGGGGCAAGTGCTGTTAGCGAGTGGCACCTACGAAGGCCGGCACTTCATTGAGCTATCATTTGTGGCCAGGTCGTTTCTGAAATAGAGCTAGACAGGGACTTCTCTACTTACGAACGCGTTAGATTCCAGATGTCCGTTCATAAGTCGATTTGTTCGTAAGTCCAACTTACGCCTGTCGATTACAAACACGTTGTACGGCGTGTACACTAAACACGGGGCATGACTTTACAAGTTGTATAATCTCATGTAGATGTAGATGCCACTGATTCTTCATGTTCTGCAGATGTAGATGCCACTGGTTCTTCATGTTCTGCAGATGTAGATGCGACTGTTTCTTCACGTTCTGCAGATGTAGATGTCACTGGTTCTTCACGTTCTGCAGATGTAGATGCCACTGGTTCTTCACGTTCTGTAGATGTAGAAGCCACTCATTCTTCACGTTCTGTAGATGTAGATGCCACTGGTTCTTCACGTTCTGTAGATGTAGATGCCACTGGTTCTTCACATTCTGCAGATGTAGATGCGACTGTTTCTTCACGTTCTGCAGATGTAGATGTCACTGGTTCTTCACGTTCTGCAGATGTAGATGCCACTGGTTCTTCACGTTCTGTAGATGTAGAAGCCACTCATTCTTCACGTTCTGTAGATGTAGATGCCACTGGTTCTTCACGTTCTGTAGATGTAGATGCCACTGGTTCTTCACATTCTGCAGATGTAGAAGCCACTGATTCTTCACGTTTTGTAGATGTAGATGCCACTGGTTCTTCACGTTCTGTAGATGTAGATGCCACTGGTTCTTCACGCTCTGCAGATGTAGATGCCACTGGTTCATCACGTTTTGTAGATGTAGATGCCACTGGTTCTTCACGTTCTGTAGATGTAGATGCCACTGGTTCTTCACGCTCTGCAGATGTAGATGCCACTGGTTCATCACGTTCTGTAGATGCAGATGCCAATTCCCTTTGGTGCTCGTGTTCTCTCTCTACTCTCTTGAATAAACTTACCAGGAGAAGTCTGCACAGTTGCTCTCTTCTTCTACTCTTCATCGATCAACTTGTAACATGCAATAGCATCGTGAACAGCTGCCGACACCTTAATCAACCTTTCACTGTTTGGGTCCTGAGACTCAGAACTAGCCGGTGCTTGACACATAACAACCACCCCCCCCCCCCCCCCCCCCCCATCTATTCCACGGCGGTTGAACTCACGACTCTCGGTCTGCAAAGAACAAATGGACACACGGACATGGTTCGTTCGCATCTCTGAATGTTCGTAAGTCGAATGTTCGTAAGTGAAGAAGTCCCTGTATAGCTCAGTGGGGCCTTACCTGGAGCAGATACAAATAAACTAAACGGATTTATTTGTATCTGCTCCATCTCTGCGCTTCTTGATCCCGCACCGGCCAGCAAGCAGCACCAGGGAAACACGCTGCCGGCGGCAAATGTGGGAGCTGCGAGTTCCGTTTTTGCCGAGTGTTGGCGGAGAGAGAGCGCACACGTGTCCCACTCCTCACTCCGCTCTCCCAAACTTAGCCGCGGCAGCTGGCAACGGTGTATCGCATTACCCACGCGCCCTGCCACCCGCACAGCGACCACGCTGCTGACACGACAGTGCCACCATCACCACCACGGTACAAACCAAACCAAACCGACCACACGAATACCACCCCACCCAACCACATGGACACCCCACTCATGCAGCCACCCGACCACACTAAAACCACAGCGATACCACCACCACCACCATACAAACCAGTCCACCAAATGACAAAGCCACCGTGCAGCCTGAACAGACTGTTGGGACAAGTGCCGTTAGCGAGTAGCACCTACGAAAGCCGGAACAGCACACGAGAGGGGTTGGGTGGCCAGCACCACACCCGGCCACCTTTTGTCTCCCGAGTGGTGATGTTTTTACACATCCCACCAGGTACTCAATTGTGGCTGAGTCGACCCAGGAGAGGCCCAGAACCGGTTCAGATAATCGTCACTGGGTGTTGGCCGTGAGCCGGAATCGAACTCGGGTCGCCGGGTTCGTAGCGCAGCGTAGCGCTAACCGCTACACTGCCGCTCCCCCCACAATGCCACCCACGTAACCACTCGAACCACACAACCACCCTAAAATAACCACACCAATACCACCACATCACCGCGCGAGCGATGCCAACCACCGAGGACCCGGGGGAGACTCGTGCAGAGCAGGGCGGGGGGGGAGATGCAAACGCCAGCGTGGAAAAGAGTCCCAGGGCTTGGGAATCGAACCCAGGCCCACCCTACCCCTTCTTGCCGAGGCACGAGCTGTTGTGAGTGTGTATGTTGAACTTCTTTCGCACCGTACGTGGCCAACCGCGCTAATCGGTGCCGGGGGGGGGGGGGGGCGGGAGGCAGGACAAACTAAACACGAGGAAGCAGTTCGAAA